AAGATCTCGAGAATTTTAGAATTTATGAGTATATTGTAAAATTTAATCGTGAGATGTGCGTTAATAAATTATATATAAAAAGTTTAGCGGATGAATCTGAACGACTTAAAATACAAATATATATTATTGTACGTTGATGTAAAGTAGGATAAGATATAACGTACTATAATTATTAACAACTAATGCATTTTGATGTTTTAATTAAACTGTGTTTGATGCTTAATTAGGTGGCACCAAAGCCAAATACATTTATGCCATTTGGAAGTGGAGTGCATGCCTGCCCCGGAAACGAGCTTGCAAAGCTGGAAATGCTGGTTATGATGCACCATTTGGTCACCAAGTTGAAGTGGGAAGTAGTGGGATCCCAAAGTGAGATTCAATATAGCCCCTTCCCTGTGCCTCTGCATGGACTCCCAACCAAATTTTGGAAACAATCTGCCTGATGTAGTTGATTTCTCATAACCCTCCCCAATTTAACTCATCCTTATATTTCATGTTTTTTTGTAAGCATCTCAACCGATAAGTTAAATTGCTATGCAGACACAAAATTGCAAGAATTGAAGGAGAAAACCATTAAGTAGTCAAATCCTCATAGATTTGAGGCACTGAGGGCAATGTCAAAATTGGCATCCCATAAGATTTGTTTTCAAATATTATTTTAATATTTTTTAACGTTGGTCATGTGACTACCCGTCCCGAATTATTATATATTTTCTCCTCGATAGCGTGGAAATGACGATGTTGCCCTTGAAATGTTGTAATACGATTGTGTAATCGAGCCTAAGGAATTGACCAACCGTCTCCCACGAATTTGGACCCAATTAGAATTTGGGTTTGTTTTAGATTGATTTTCTTTTGCCCTAAACCTCATGGCCCAATCAGGGCCTTGATTCTTTTATTTTGGCCTATCCCATGGCTCACACACACACACATGTGCAACCATCTGCTTCTCCTTCTTTCTTGAACTCTCTCTCTCCGTACACTCAAACTTACAGCTCTCAAATCCTTCCAAAACCTCACAGACCGTCTTTAACTTAGTCACCATCATCTTCTTCTTGACTCCACGAGCCTGTCCATACCTGTAGTTGAGAGAGCAATTGACGGGATCACGGGATACCCGAACTCCGGTAAGGAGTGAAATTATCTCCGGCATGATCGAGGGTGTTTCACTTAGTTTCGAGGTTTAGTAAGGTAATTACTCAACTTATCTAACATGTTAGACTAGTTTTGGTTAAGTTTGGACGTCAGAATAAGCTCAGTAGTGAGTTTGTAGGAGTAGCAGGCTTTTCAAGGATTTTTCTGGTCATTTTTCGTCGAATTTAGGACCCCAAATAAATAAGAACGTGCTCTTCTTGTTCAAGGCTTCAATTTGATATAAAATTCATGAAATTTGGTGTTGAAATGATAGAGATATTGAGATTCAAAGTTTTTACAGAAACCGGCAAGTGCAGCGGCGGCAGGCGACGGATTCCGGCGAACCATCAGAGAAGACAGAGCATATTCCGTCAAGTTTGACGGAATATTCTTAACGGCGTCAGGTATATTTAACGGAATATTCCCTAACGGTGTGAGGGTTATCGTCAGCGTGCCAGGCATGTGCCTGAGCATGGTCGGCACGTGAAGGCGCATGGGACGTCGGAAAATTATTCTAAAAATATGAGGATGCTCATGGTGTTGAGTAGGCCACGATGATATATTCAAATACCCCAATTGAGCAACGTATGAGAAGTTATTTCATAGTGATGGTTATGTGTTTTAAAATAACATTAAAATAGTTGTTTCACATATAGGTGAGACATTTCCAGAGGACGAACGCAACCAGGCGAGACTTGGGGGTTACGACCTAGCTACATACAGTGAGTGGGCTTTTTGGTTTTATATATATATACAATATATGCCTTATGTTTCCCAGCAACTGTTTAAATGGTTTTTACGTTTTAAATACCATGTCGTATGCATTACATATTAGTATATGCTCTAATATAGCTGTGCATATTTTTGCTCAACATCATGGACGCTCAGGTAAGCTTCAAGTGAGTATATAGTGATGGTTGTGATGGTAGTGTGTATGATTATGATGAGTTGCTTTTAGTGATTTATATCCTGCACCCCGGTGTTAGTGCTTCACCTGAGGATAGGGGGTAGCCTTCACGTGATTGTTCACCTCCCGCACCACACGCTCAACTTGGATCCAAGGCAGGTGCCAGCCTGTCGTACATACCAAATTAGGTGGTTCCGACTCGCAGGTGACTTGCAATACTTCGCACAGCCTTTACATGATTGTAGCACTTGAGCGTACTTATTTACACCTAGCCTGTAGTACAGACCACATTGGTGGTTCCGACTCGTGTGCATGATTTGATTTGATTGTTGAGTTATAGATTCAGCCGTACATGTAATATCCCGAAAATTTTCAGTAGTGATTAAGAGTGGATTGCTGGTGGCCATTGTTAGCAAAATTAATTTACCTTGTTTGAGGTTTGGATCAATTGGCCTTTGCCCCATTAAAAGTTCTCTTACTATTGAGACCAAGCCTTGGATTGAAAAGAAAAGAACTAAAAGAAGAGGAAAAAAAAATGACGCTTATGTTAGTAAGGAGAAAAGGTTTAAGCACATTCTAGAAAAACCTTTTCTTTTGTTGCTCTCCTCTCCAGCCGAGAGAGATGAAGAAATTCCTCTCCTTTAGCTCTTAAACTTTCAAAAAAAAAAAAAAAAAGTTTAAGGAAGAGGAATTTAGTTTTCTTTTCCTCTATTTGTGAAGATTAGGACAAGTGGGATCCTTCCTTTGTCTCTATTAGAGGTATCTATTTCTTACCTTGGAAATCTATTTGATATTTGGTTTGATAACCCATAAATTGGTTTGGGTGGGAGTAGGAAACATGAAAGTATCATATTGCATGTTATAGTTTTTGAGATGAGCACCAAGTGTTTGTTTAAAGTCCCCAATTAACCTTGAATTAGGGTATGTTGTCTAGTATTTTGTATGAGGAGTGTGTGATGATTTTTCTTACTTATAGATAAGGAAGAGAAGGACAAGGTGACTACTAAACAAGTCGACGACCACCATGGGAGTTGAATATCAAGAAATTGTGTTGAGGAAATTTCAACCATAAAAATATTTAGATTTTCCATTCTTACTTGATAAAGAATTGTTGGCATTTGAGCACTATTTCAACCTTACTTTAATGTTTTCTATTTTCGATTATGTGAAAGAAGTGAAGCAAATGTTTTTAATGGGTTGATTTCTAATGATTTTAATTTTCTTCCTACAACTTTGGGGAAGTTTAAAATGATTTCAAAGGCTATCAAGATTTCGTTCTAACGTGCATGACTTTTATGTTACTCATTATGAGATTTTGAAGCATGTTGAGATGAATGTTTGATTTTGAAAGTAGATGGAAAGTAGTATAATACATGTGATGTTGAGAATGTTGAGAAATGTATGAATGGGCACAATGACTAGTGAAATTGTTAGATTATGGGCACAATGACCCAATGTTCCACGAGGAAAGCTCTATGTGTGGGCTGTAAGAATGGGTTATCAATGTGACAGATATGTGTAGTATATATGTTGGCCAGGTATATTACGATTCTTTCCAATCTACTAATCACTTGTTTGGGATAAAAGAGAAACTTTGTGATCAGTTGTGCTATTGTTTCTTTTAATGACAATGGCTTTATTGTCTTTATGATGAAAGAAGTGTTTTTGAACTATGTGTTGTACCGTGTTGTTATCAAAGCTGTTTATGCTCTGAAACTTTGGTTTTCCTACCATCTATTACTTACAAGCATTTTAGAGTATAATTCCAGTGTTGGATTATGTAGTGGTGGATATAAACTGTTTTGAATCACTATTATCATTTTTCAGCATGCACTAGAAATTTTAAATGACTACGGACTTATTGAAAAACCCCTACTGGGCATTTATGCTCACCCGTTTTTCTCAAAATGTATTTTTCAGGTGGTGTAGGGTTGACTTGCTAGGTTTCGAGTTGCAGCTCTATTCTGGACTAGTAGAAGGGAGTCCAGGCGTATCTTTTGGGCGAGCTGCCAAAGTATTTGTATAGTTAATCTTAGACTGTAAATGATCTATTTGTTGCGTTGTAGACTAAGAAGGGGTAGGCCAAAATGGGTTAGTGTCTCTACTTACCTGGGCAATGAAAACCATGTGTATATATAATTACCTATCTTTTGGCTTGTATAAATTATGCTCATGTACATTTTCATTAAATGACCTGAACACGTTTTTGTTGTATGAAACCTTGAAGGTCTTTTGTGAACTTATTATAGCCTATAAGGCTTAATGAATTGCCTTTGGAGAATCACTATGAACTGGGTTATGTTTAAAACTGTGGGTGATTATCTACTATCTAGGTGACATTTTGAAAATTTCAGATTTGTACCCTTTGGAACATATTCAGCTTTATTTCCAAAGTGACTTGGTGTTGCTGAAACTATTTTTTTTTTTAGAAAAACAGCAGCATGCCTATTTTAGATTTAAATTTTCCTAGGCTTCCCGAACTCAAAAATCAAAGAAATTTTAACAAAAATCAATGAAATTTTAACACAACTTAGTTTTATGTGTCTACTTTGAATCTGGAAAATTTCACACTTTTTTTTTTTAACAAGTTATTTTTGGTGAATTTTATGGTTCAGGTCGTCTTTGCAGTTTGTATTTGTGATATCCCGTCCCTAAAATTATTATTTTATTTTATTCTTGACGTATTTCAAAGATTTGATTGGAACTAGTTCTTTATTTCTCCAAATTTGAGAAAAATGAAGTGAGGGGTACTTTAGTCATTTCCAATTTTATCAATCTTTTCAGTCAACTCTTGAATTAGTTAAGTAGAGTTCGATTCCATGAGCGCGTAGGCGTAAACAGATCTTATTTCCGAGTCAGAACGGAGTAAAGTCATTTGAAGTTGATAGCATTTTGGTAATTTTACTAAAATGTTATAAATGGGAGGGAAACCTCCAGAAAAGGGGGAGGTTTCTGAAAATGAAAGGGGGTAGCTGCCCTAACCCGTTTTAGGGAGACTTGGACCCGTTAACCCATAAACTTGACCCGCTTGTATCTTCTTCATCGGAGCTCCGTTTTGGGTGATTTTGGTGTCCATGGAAAGCTCTTGACGAACCCTATATCTCTGTAGTGTTAGATTTCCCAATTTCTTTTCCATCTTTGCAGTTCGAAGCCACAAAGCCCACGACTTTTCTGGCGGTTTTATCATTTTTCCGGTGGTTCCGGCAATCATTTCCTTCAAGTGAGGTATGAAACTTCATCTACTCTTCATAATCTTCAAGTTGGTATGCTTAGTTTGTGCTTTCATATTCATTTTAGAGTTGGGTGTTTAGAACCCTAGAAATCCGGTTTTCTCTGGTGAATTTGGATGGTTTCCGATTAGAAATTATCGTCGGGCTAGTTGTGAAAAATGTTTCCCTTGTTGAGCTCTAGCTACCACGTAAATTTGAGCTCATCTAGTTAATGTTGAAAATTTGGGGTTTCTAAACCCTTCATCTTGACTACCACCGCGTGTAGCTGTGCGTGGAATCATTCACGAGTATTATCTAGGTTTCAAATACCTTCTAGTGACCCTGTGAACCTATGTCTAGCTCGGTTTCTAAAGATTCAATTGTTTGATGTGGTGATCAATTTAGACCGCCACTTGTTGTGTGATTGACGACAATCCGACCTGTTGGATCATAAGGAAATTTTAGTATGTTATCCTAGATGCATAATGTGGACTTTGGGAAGTTATGGATCATAATTCTTATATGCGGATCTTCAAGATCAAATTACGTAGAGTGGTGGACCCTATCGTTGACCGAGAGTTGAATAGTGGTCAACATGTCTCGATATGTTCTAGATAATAAAATTAGTACTATGGGAGACTTAAGTGAAGTCTAGTGGGTCTACATTGGTTAGAGAGTGACTTGAATATATGTGATATGTTTATTACATTGCTTTCTTATATTGGTATCATCTGTGAATTTGACCTGGTTTTATAATGTGATTATATTGAAATGTGATTACTATATATATATATATATATATATATATTTAGTCATTGACCTATGTTTATTAAACATGATCTGGCTTGTGTACTGATGATGATCGTGATATGTGATTTGACGTGCATATTTGAAAGGTGGTTGATTTGCATAGATGGTATGATATGATGAAATGTGAGTGATTTTAATATATGTGAATATGAAATGGTTTTATAATTATGTTTCCTATAAATTGTTAATTTTTATATTTAGCCATCGAGGTAGTTTATGAAGTGGGATTTGACGTGCATATTGGAAATATGGTTTATTTTGTATGATTGGCTTGATTTGATGAAAGGTGAGGGCTAGTAGTGGACTAGGACCTTGCTTGGTTAATCCACATTGGGGGGTCACTAGTGGTCCTGCTTGGTTAATCCGCACTAGGGGACCATACTATATGCATGGATCGTGCTTGGTTAATCCGCGTTGGGCGATCCTTATGGCCATGTATGCTTATGAATGATCATGCTTGGTTAATCCGCATTGGGTGATCACTTCCTAACAGCTGTAGGAGTGACTCTGCTTGGTTAATCCGTATTGGGGGGGTCACGACATGCTGGGTTACTTTCTTAGGGGTGGCTCTGTTTGGTTAATCCGCTTTGGGGGGCCACTTCCTGTTTGGTTACTTACGTAGGCTTCGGTTGAACTGCATCCCTCTAGTCGTACTTTTCATTGTGTTGTATGAGATTATGGTTGTGAGATATTGTGATTTGTTTCAGACGAACCATTAGATGTCTAGGTGACTCCTTCAGAGTTTTCAAAAGTTTGGTATTGATTTCTTATGAATGATTTATATTCATGGTTTAAAAATTGTGATTGATGGTTAGTTTTATTATTGTATCACATGCTTATTTTATTGTCACTCACCTGAGCCTCTCAGCTTATCTGAGTGCTTGATTTGCCAGTGCACCAATTTCATAATATTGGCATTGACTTTACATATGATAGGTCTGGTTAGATTATGAGAAACCGCTTGATATTTTGGTTCGTTGAGTGGTCCGGAACTGATGTTGTTGGATTCCGTGAGTGGTCTGAATCCTTGCTCTTGTTTATTCCGTAAGGTGATCTTAGAATCCTAAATTCGAGTATATGGGAATTACCACAATAGATATTGTGAATATAAATTAGAATTACCATGTTTATTACTCATAATCTAAGTGGGGAATTATATAGAGTTTCTTGGTTAATTCGTGAAATGTTATGTTATCGCACTGTTTGAATAACGTAATTAAATGCTAAGATTGTGCATCTTAGATTTATGAATTGATTAATTGACGGGATTGTGGACTGACGTTGAATATGAGTGTGGTTATTATGAGTATTTTAGTTGATTAATATTTCTAGAGAATAATATGTACTTTGTTGATTCTTAAATATGTTACACGCTATGAAATGCAATTTTATGTGGGAAACGTGATGATTTATGTGATGGATGAAGTGGAAATGTTAATTGTCATGTGGGATTGTTATGCTGGATATCATTGTTATTGTTATGATTAGACTTGTTGATAAATGTGGCTAGAGAACTGGTATTGTACATCGTTGGTTCTTTGAAATGATATATGTTGTGAATTGCGGTATCATGTTGCGACATAATGACCTATATATTGATGGAGGGGAAATCATGACTTTCAGATGGGTTTGTTATGTAACCCTGAGTCTAGTAATTTCATGCTTGTCAAGTTCTATTGATTGATTGAGAAATGTTATGCCTTTCGACTTAATTGGACTGTGTTATATGTTAATTATTGTGCATGATGAACTACGAATGGCTTGATCCCTATTTAGGGTACGTAGGCAGTCTAACGGGGAGGTTAGATGCAGCCATAAAGCATACGAAAAATTACTATGCGATTCGATTATTGAGTTGTGCTTTGCCCATATCCCAGAGGTGGGGTATGATAGATATGGATTTTTGGTGACGTCGCGTATCAATTCTGGACGTATGTCGGGATTGGGGCATGGCATTATTACCACAAGAAGTCTTTAACTCTATTTCTTTAAGTTAGCTTTGTAGTTTTGGATTAATGTATTTGTTGAGTTTAAATTTTCATTGACAAAATCTTAAGTTACAACCTTAAACAACCACTTTGTTTTATTTATTTCTCTTAATCTCACAACGAAAGTTTTGGGGTGTGACAGTACAGGTCATGTTAGATGACTCCGGTTGATATGTCACTTTATATTAGTGCAATTCACCTGGCTTACTTATTCATGGTTGAGATGATTGTCATGGCATACACATGGTTTGTTATTCTCAAGTTTAGTTTGCATAGATGTTTACAGTATTATTTTCTGGAACCTTATACGGGTTTTACGTTGAGGGGTTATTATATTTGAAAAGACAAATGGCTTTGAAAAGTTTTGTTTTTACCCACTCACACTTTTTGTTTTGTGCCCCTCTAGGTTCTAGATAGAAGTTCATGTCGGTGGCTCACGAGGACTTCATGGCGGATTCTGACAGACATCCACCAGTGTAGGGTTTCTTTTATGATATGTACAATTAGTAATTAGACATCTGGACTGCATCCTGATGCCCACGCTCTGGTTATGTGTGTTATTTACTCTAAACATTTACACTCGTACTTATGCTAGTCTAGTGTAAATTAGTTAGTAGGTTGTTATTTATCTGTATTTTCATATCATGTTCACTTCCGCACAGCACACGTGTCTACGTCATCCTTTCGTGACGACTAGCATGCCTCGATTGGAGTTGAGGTGTGTTAGGTCATGTTTTTCTTTTAAAATTAATAAAATAATATATTATATTTAGAGTGCACTCACAATTTATAGAGTGTCAAATTGCTACGTAGACCAAACGCAAATTTATCATTTTAGATTTGATATCACTTTTGAGATGCTTTGAGGCACGTTTCAATTTTTTACTTTATTTTTTCTTTTTTATGGGAGTGATCAGAAACTAAAATGCTTCACTTTGTATTGAAAAAGCGCATTATTGGGCTGATGTTGACATGAGTATGGATACCATTGACGTGGGACGGGACGGAACAGAGTGGGACAAGACGTTTCATTCCACGTTTGGTGCGCCTAAAACTGGTGGAACGAGCTGTTCCACGGGACAAGTTTTGGGTGAATTTTCGTTTCACCTCACCCCCTGGAACGACTCGTTCCACATCCGTGGAACACAAAATTATAACATCTCCGTCTCCTTCTTCTTCCTCCTTGTTTCCATCCGAGGGCATCTTTGCTCCCGCTCCGTTCCATTCCGTCCTGTCCAGTCCAGTCCCGTCCCATTCCGTTCTGTCCCGTCCCTTCTGCATACCAAACGATACCTAAGAAACGGGCTTCTTATTCATAGACCTAGGTTTTATATTATTATCAATCTTTGTCATTCAACAAGTGTACTAGTTAAATACTCTCGCATGTTCTAACTTTATCCAAATATAGCTTCATAGGTTCTTTGAGTTACAACACTACTAATTAACAAATGCTTAGTTGGAATAACAGAAACGCTGATCCCTAAAATCACATCCAACAACAAAAATAAAGAGAGAGATGAATCGCATCCATTCTGCAATCATTTGTAATTTGCTAATCACATTCTTCTCACACACCTTTTTAATTTTCGACTTTCGAATTGAATGAATTAAAGGATATCAAAGGATATAAATTAACAACGAGCGTGTGAGAAGTTAAAAATGGTATATAGATAGCACACCCCTGTATATACACATCACATGCAACACGTACACTATAAGAGGAGGGATTGCTATTACACTATGGGTCGTTTTATTTAGAAAAAAGTCAAGGTAACCAACTTAAAGAAATTTAAAGTTTGAGTTCCCTTGAAATCGCTCATTCTGTTGCTAACGACTCTATTTTACAGGAATGAAATGTCTCCTTTGGTGGTTAGTGTGCTTTTTCATTGCCTTCTCTTGGGATTGTTCTTTTCTCATTTCTTTTCTTTTCTTTTTTCTGGCTGTGTTGATGCACTTTGGTTCTTTGTTGCTGCAGTTTGCTGCTACTTATTTTGTATAGTTGCTTCTCTTATCCAACAGAAAAAAAATAATAGTAATTAATAATGTTCTGATCATTCTAACCACAGCATACACCAAGGACGCAAAACTCATCCTCTTCTCATGTTGGTAACCACACATTTTTTGTTCCTTTCTACCTTTTCACCCTCTCCCTTTGGGTGAACTTTTATCACATTATTAATACAAAGCTTATTCAGTATTTGAATTGATCCAGCACTGTTCTTTTTTTCTTTAGATATCCGAGCGCTTCTCTTCACATCATCACCTTCTCTTCCTCTCTTCCACCATGGCCAGTATGATTGAAACAAAATCTGAAAGCAATGAAGATGATAGGGTGGACAATGACGTTTCACGCTTATTTGGTCTTCGTGGGTTTAGGGCGTAAGTGAAAATAGTGCTTTAGTGATAATTAAATTAATTATAAAAATTAAGAAATTGATGCAACTGCTCAGCAACAGATTGTTAGCATTGTTAGGGTTTGTTGTTGAAACATAGTTGTTAGCTATTTAACAGAGTCGTTAGTTGTTTAACAGTATGCTAAGTAATGAATTGCATAGTGAGTAGCCAATGTAATGAGTATATATATAGTTGTATTACAGCTCATAATATGACTACTATCAATCTATTCACAAAATTATGTTTTCCATATCTTGCATCTTTGTACAACCATTAGAAATAATTCAAACTCAAAGTGATGTCTGGGATACTTGTGACATCCCGTCCTGAGATTATATAAAAACGTACGTGTGAATTTACCTTTTGACCCCTAGTTCGTTACATTTACGTTTAGTGTTGTTTTGTGTGGTGTGGCATGTGTTGGACCACACACACACTCACACACACACTGTCTCTATCTCTCCCGTGATTCCCTCTCCCTCTGTCTCTTTTCTGTCACTTCTCTCTCTCTCTCCCGAGCTCCCATTTCTTCTTCTTCCTTCACGCTTGTACGGACAAACCCAAAAACCCTTCAAACCATCCCAGATCGAGGAAACTAAGGACACCTTCGAACTCGTGAAGCTCGTACGAGTGCAACCATACCATTTTCAGGACTTTTCAAGCTTATAGGAAGCTTCTTGAGGTCCTTAGGAGGCTTGGAGTAATTCGTTGGAAGTTTTTGGACGAAAAAACACGGAGAACGACAAGTTCAAAGTTTGGCCGGAGCTTTCGAGGCTTTTTCTGGCGAATCCACGGCGAGTTAGGGGTCGAGGCAGAAATTCCGGCAAAACACCCACCTCCGGCGAAACCAGTCCGGCGACGCGAGGAAGAAGACGCGCGCGTGGGCAGCGCGTATACAGGGCGCGTGAGGGCGCGTGAGAGCTCCAAATTGAGTTCTAAAAATTGTCACGTGTTCGTGACGTCGTGTAGATCACCGTGGTGGAATTTGTACGAACGACGAATGTAACCAAACTAGGCGTGAGGGTTACGAACCGGCTACTTATCAGTGAGTGGGCAGTTATTTTTCAGTATATATATACGTATGCTTGACGTATTTCCCAGAAAACGTATTTTAAAAGAAATACGAATTAAATATCCTGTCATATATGCATCATATTTTAATATGTGCATTACCATAATTATGCATACTGTTGCATGGTGCTGAGGAGGCCCAGGTAAGCTACATTTGATATACATTTGATATGCATTTGATATACATTTGATATACGTATGAAATACGTTTGGAATACGATTGAAATACTATGGAAATACAAAGGAAATATGATCGTGATATGTTTGTGATATGATTGAGATATAATTGAGATACGATTGAGATATTATGCTGATAACGATCATGAGATATGATTGAGATATGAAGAATGATATGATAGAGATGTGATTGAGAGCTCATAACCTGCACCCCCGGTGTTAGTGCTCCCGCCCTGAGTAGGGTACAGTCCTTCACGTGATGTTCACCTCCCGCACCACACGCTCAACTTGGATTCCAAGTTAGGTGCACAGTCTTGTCGTACAGACCACTTTGGGTGGTTCCGACTCGTAGGTGACCCGCGATTATTCGCACAGCCTTCACGTGATCGTAGCACTAGAGCGTACATATATATTACACCCAGGCTTGTAGTACAGACCACTTTAGGTGGTTCCGACTCGTGGGCAGGTTCAGTTGTTCAGTTATTAAGTTTGTGATTTGAGCTCTATATGCAGCTGTACAGGTCACGTTAGGTGACTCCGGCTGCCAGATGTTATGCTGTTGATGTGATGAGTTGATTATGAGCTATATATGCAGTCGATGACTGAGTTGATTATGATGAGTTAATTATGAGTTATATATGCAGCCGAGGGCTGAGTTGATTAGAATGAAAGAGTATGAACTATGTTTATAGCCGAATGTTGAATTGATTATATGTTATTCCATCATATTCACATAGAGATGATGAGCATTCTGTTATGATACTTGGCATGACATACATTCATATTGTCTAGCATAATTTGAGATATATTACGTATATGAGTATATACTTTATTTCTGGGAAAGTATACAGGTTTTACGGCGAGGGGTTAGAATGCGTTTTACTAAATGATTTTCAAAGAGCTTTGTTTTGCTGACCCATTCAACTTTGTTTTGTGCCCCTCCAGGTTTAAGATATCAGAGCTTGGTGGCTACGAGGAATCCAACGGTGTTCTGACAGAATGGACAAAAATTAGGACTCACCTTTGGGTGTTTCATCTTAGAAATTGTATCTTTAAAGCTTCCGTACTGTGTAAATGGTTACGTCACTCTCACGTGACGGCCAGCATGCCCTCCTTCGGGACGGGGTGTGTCAATACTGCTCCAATATAATTTGTTGAAGGGTTCAAGTCCTGCTCCAATATAATTTGTTGAAGGGTTCAAGTGTTATGTCTATGAATATACAAGATTGACTTGAATCTTTCCAATGGACGGAGGTGGCGAGTTTGTAAACAATAAATTCAAACAGTTCTTCCTAGAAAAAAGGTATAATACATTAAAAAAAAAAAAAATCATGTCCTCCCACCATGCAGAATGGACTTGCAAAATGCAAACATAGACATCCATTAGAAACTGTTATTAGCTTACAACAAACTGTCAAATTACCACCCCAAATTTTGGTTTCATGCTTGTGATGAATCTGTTCCCAATGAAGTCAACATCTGTAGTTTGCAAATCAAGAAAATTGTGACATGATTGGAGCGCTCAATATATCACAACAAGTATATGTGGAGTGAATGCTTTTACATTATTTACAGATAAATGCCTTATTAATTAACTAGCTCGAGTATCTTGAGATGCTGGACTTGTGTATTTACTAATGGCTGCAGTGATCCTCTCTTTGTCTCTAGTTGGAAATGCTTCCAAGAGGATCCCGTCTTTATAGAAATGGAAGAGCGGCACCGTCTGCATCGTTTCATAAAAAAATAAAGCTAAGAGGATAATAGATTGATAATAAGCCTTATATAAATCAAAATTTAGTGTATGCCGATCGTATAAGAGTGACAATATCAATGGTTGTAAGAGTGACATTTGTCACCAGATTAAGGAGAGAGTTGTTAGATTGGTTAGTGAGTTGTTATGATGGTTAGCTTGAGATAAGTCAGTTAGATTTTTTTTTAAGAAGATTGTGTAGCAACTTCCGCATAAATATTGTAATGCTCATAGCAATTTATTCTCTCTCTACAATTCTTCATTCTCTCTCTAGTTTTTCATCTTCTTCTCTGTTCTTTTGCAAATATATCAGTCAATCTATATATGTTGATAGATCTGTTTAATTAGTACCAATTCAGTTCAAATTTTTATTAAAAGTTTGTAAACATTTCTATTTTTGTATATTCCCTAGTAGTTAACTCGATGAGCATGTTGCAATTCAAGTGCCATGATTCAGCTTAACATAAATGCATATAATAAGTTTGTGAGCACTCAATCAAACTAACATATAAGACTAGTGTGCAATGTTTCCTTTGAAACCAATCAATCGAGAGAAAGTTTACCTTAATTCTAAGTCGATCAGCAACCTCGGATTGTTCGTCGTACTCATCAATTACCTGCAGTAATTAGTAAAAATCCTTACCAGAATTACATATTGAGCTAATAAAGCAAAGTTGAAATTACAATGGCGTTTGTACGGTGAAATGATCCTATAAGGAACGAGGAAGGTATTATCCTAACAATAAGGCTCACATTATGCTTCAAGAAGATAACAGCAGCTTCTCCATCACCAGCTCCCTTACACAGCTTCGAAAACCCTTGCTCTATGTACTTGCAGCTCCCACACGAAGTCCGATAAAAATCTACGACAACCAAAGCACCAGTTTCTTTGGCCGTTTCGAGAATTTTGCTGAACTCCGCATCGGTACTAAACTCTCTAACACATTCAACGGGACACACATCATCGTCGTCTTCCTCGGCCAATTCTCCTAGGTTTCCAGACGCCACTCGGACCTCTACGTGACCGAATGCGTGGCGGTATCCCGAAACTTCCAATCCTTTGATGATGTTTGATGGAAAATTTGCTTTCACGAGACAAAATTTAACTTGGAAGGGACTTGTTGAACCATGTTTTGTGTTTAGATTTGTGACGAAGTTGAAAGAGGCCGTGGCCTTGCTGCCGTATAGAATGGTCTGCCTTTGCATTAGAACAAACGCCAAAATTGAAGAGTGGGGTTTTTGGGGAGGTGAGTTCTTGGCGGTTGATATGCTCCCAATTGCCATATCTGAACTCTGAATTGTTCTACCCATTCAGAAGGTGCCACGACATCACCAACCATATCGGATTGGCCTTCCTAACGACAACTTTTTGGGCCGGTTATGTTTTTCATGAATTGGCTTTTGAGTAAAAGTAAAAAAATAGTCTGATTTGTTTAAAAAATTTATTTCTAACCAATATCTAGACTGTAATTCTATAGAGTTTATCAGACTATTATTTAGGTAAAGGGTATCCGGGTGGTGAAATGTAGCCCCTCTAAGCTTTTTTTTGGGACTCAGGTCATCTCCAACCGAAAGGGCTACGTTTAACCCTCCGTCTAGATTATAACCCTACAAGAAATTATTTTTTAGTAAACAGTGCTAGACCATATCTATATACAGTTTTTAACCGAAGGAGGCTATTTTTTAGCGCCTCAATAATTTATTAATTTAAGTTTGTTATTTAATTTTATCGGTTAATTAAATTAAACTATCATATTAAAATAAGATTTCCAGACATCTTTTCAGGGTCACTTATCCCTAAATGTTGTTTTAAGTTGTATGTTATTAAATATTTAATTTTACTTGCATGTTAACAACTTAGACAGAAAAATGAGATAAAATAGTATGGAAAGGTGAAAATGATGTGAAAAATGGTATAGAAATAGCTTAGGTATTTATAGGAAAAAATTAGAATTTTTTAATATTCTTTTTTAAATATCGTCTTAAAAAAAATAAAATGAAGAGGTTACATGACGCCAGCTAACAACACAGCTGGGCCCAACTTATAGGGCTGACTATGTTTGCCCAGCCATCTGGCCATTTGGCTATAGTTTGGTTAGGTGGGTCCCAAATTTTTTTAGCCCAACCCTTCATTAGACCTACTCCAACCTTGGAGTAAAACTCAAATTTTATGTTCAAAACTTATCCCAACTTGCTCCAACCTTGGGGCAAATATGAGTTAAAACTCAAAACTCATTTATGGGCCAAATTTAGTTCAGGATTCCCCTTGGTTTAGTGGGGTTGGTCCATCATATATGTATATTTTTGTCATATTTATAATTATAAATTCATTGAATCCAACGGTTAAGATCTAATTTGATGAAATCCAACGGTAAAAAAAAAAAAAAAATCTAACGGTCCAAATTTAAATCCAATGGTTAAAGTAATAAAAAAAAAATTTCTTTTATGTGTTTCATATTCTTTCATAGCGTTTCACAAGTTTCATGGTGTCAGTTAGTGATTTTTCAATATTTATCGGAATCTAAATATTTTTATGTTAAAATGTTTATAAAATTAAATTAGGATAGTCTACATAATTTTTTTTCTTTTAAAAGAGTTACTTTAAGAAAAAATTAGCCTAAATTCATTATTTAATGATCTGGGGCTAAAATTTTAACTCATAAGGGTTGGATCAAAAAAGCTATTTATGAGTTAAAACCTAAATTTTATAGGTTAAAAATTTTAGATTTTAACCCAAGGGTTAGAGATGGTCTTAGAGATGGGTTTTGTGTCACAACAGACTATGTTTTGGCCTATAACCCTTTAGCCGACTCAGTTGGAGATGACGTCAGCTCCTCAATTGCAATAATTAATTCACATGTTACAGGCCTCACAGCTAGATTTAAAAACATTAAACGGTAGTTTAATTAAATTAACTAATTTATAATATAAACCTAAAACCAATAAATTTTTTATAGAATTATATTTAATCCATTCGATTAGACCAACTTCAATGGTGGGTTAAAAGTCAAATTACCCTCCAAAATTCCCCCCCCAAACCCAATCCAATCTAAGGGGAAAATTTGGGCTAAATGCTAAATGCTAAACCAAGGTCAAATTCCCCACAAAATTTAGCTCATAAATCGGAGTAGACTCCACCCAATATTTATCGGAATTTAAATTTTTTTAGATTAAAATGTTCATAAAATTAATTTACGATAGTCTACATATTTATTTATTTTTTTTAAATTTAATTTAACCAAAAAAAAGCCTAAGTTCATTCTTTAATAATCCTGAGCTAAAATTTTAGGCTAGAACGGTTGGAGCAGAAAAACTGTTTCTGGGCTAAAAACTAAATTTTTCGGATTAAAATATTTGACTTTTAGCCCAACCATTGAAGATGGTCTTGTAAATGACATAATACTGTTTATTTACAACTAATTTTTTTGTAGAGCTATAAATCTAAAACAGAGTTATTGATTTCGAAGTAAGGTCCCAGAAAAATTCAAATTTATGATGCCAGCCCAATCGAACGATAAAAACTACCAGAAAATAAAGTTATGGAAATGCGTGCCTTGTCCGTCATCTGATCTCTTCAGGCGCGGTTAGTTAGCGCGTGATCTTATACAACAATTAAATTCTCCGACCAAATTAACCAGTCTCTCAGAAATCGAACGATAAAAACGACGTTGTTGCGAGGCCCTTTACATCTCGATACTTGCAGAGTTGAAGAGAGAGAGAAGCAATGGCGAGCGGTGCAGAGTTGAAGTCGGAGAGCTTGCTGGAGCTGATGAAAGAGCACCTGAAAACCGACGCCGGCAAAGAAATTACCAAGAAAATCGGACTCGTCTATCAGATCAACATCGCACCCAAGGTAGGCTCTACCACTCGCCGACCTTCCTCAAATTCTCTAAATCTGATCAATTCCCAATTTTCCCTTGACTTTCTGAGTTGAAATCGCAGAAAATTGGATTCAATGAGGTGATTTTTACAGTTGATCTTAAGAAAGGCGAGGTCAAGAAAGGTTAGGGTTTCTGATTTTGGTTTGCTCTTAATCCTAATTAATTAATCAATTTAGGGCCTGTTGAGATTGTTTGTGGTTAAAAGCGTTTTGTGATGGTCGAAAGTGTTTTTTTTATCACGTTTGGCAGAAAAATTTAAAAGCGATTTGGCATATACGTAAGTACTGTCCGAAGAAGCACCTAGAAGAAAATGCTTTTGATTGCCTTTGGCTGAAAAAATAAAGAAATGTATTTGGCTCATATGTAAGTGCTTTTTGAAGAAGCCCCTTCTGGAAAGAAGCACCTAGAAAAGGCCCTTAATAATTCTGTTTAATGTGTGAAAGATGAGAGCTTTTCCTGAAATCTGAGCTGAAATTACAGGGGCATATGAAGGAGGGAAGCCAGATGCAACTTTTTCGTTCAAGGATGATGATTTCGTTAAGGTGGCGCTAGGGAAGATGAACCCACAAATCGCTTTCATGAGGGGGGCAATGAAGATCAAGGGCAGCCTGAGTGCGGCCACGAAATTCACACCTGACATTTTCCCCAAGCCTGCCAAGATGTGAGATTTCGGATTTTAGGCCTAATTATATTTTGATTGCTTCAAATGAATTTCTCAAATACTAGGAAACTTTGAACCGATAGGAATTTTAGCTTTCCACTAAAGAGAAACTAGAAGTCAATTAGATGAAAGCTTGTGCTTTTTGATATGTGAATCATTTCGTACTTAATGCAATAAGCTGCCGATTCGAATATGACTGAGGGTTTTTTTTCTTATAATATTTGTTATTTTTCTTGTGTTTTCCTGCAAATTTGCTATCTGTAGTCTTTGGATATTTGGGAGTTGGGTGGCTTCAGGGGTTTGATTTGGCTGCAAAACAGGGAAAATCAGCCAACTCAATGATAAACTGAAAGGGAAATGAACTCCGTGCACCCCTTTCACCTTGTACATATCCATGTTTTTTCTGTCATTTGGTGTTCCTTTTATGTATCCAATATAACGGGCAGAAATAAACTGGGGTGTGCCGAAATTGCCTCACAACTGAAACTCTGATAATGAAAAAGAAAGAGAGTAGCAGTTTTCCACCAAAAACAATAAGTGAAACAATTCATTGTTATGATGTTGGCTGGGGCAGAACCCAATGAGGCTAAATCTTGGGTGTAATCGGTCCTTGATCCCCTTCACTCTATCTCTCACATAGACCAACATGCGTTTGTCCAAGAAGAAAAAAAGGTCTTAGTTAAAGGATGTTGAAAGTATATGATTGTGAATTGATTTCATGAATGTTGCCTAACCTTTTGAAAAACTGATCGCATTTGGACGAGTCAGCCCTTTTCTAGCTGATCACACACGGCATGATACTTTGGATTTGCTTCAGTATATCTTGTTGTTCAAACTGGTTGACTCTCTGGAGTTTCAATCTCCACTTGTCTTGGCTGTTTAATTATAAAATGCGTGACTTTTGGTAAAGTCAACTCCACGAGATAACTAAAGGCACCATGAACTTCCTCATTTCCTTCTGCTTTTGCCTCTGCATTTCTCTCTTGCCCTACTTTGGAACCCCCGCTGTGTTGTATTAGGTAACTACGCTATATACGCTTCTCTTTTACAGATTACGTTTAGCCTGTTATGAATGCGCATTTTGAATTTTGATGTCTTTGAATATGATACAGGGGTTCAAGTAAAAAAGGAGGGTGGTACAACTCACTCAAGACCTCCATTCTTGAACTTGCTGACTCTGGCATCACCCATGTCTGGCTTCCTCCGCCTCACGCTAATGGAACCGAGGGTATTTACTAGCTACTAGCCTATCACTATCTCTGTATAATCGCATTTTTTGTTTAATAATCCCAAGTAATCAATAATGTTCTCTCGCTAGACTGTGAATCTGGATTGCACATTCTAGCAAGATAATAATTCGTTACCATTATTCAAACGTTTCAGGATGCTCTCCGGAAGGCTATGCGATCTTGATGCATCGAGAATTGAAGTTCCTATTTACTGCCAGGCATGAGAAGGGAATCAAAGCCATAGACATTGTGATAAACCACAGAGCAGCTGTCAAACAAGATGAGAACGGACTATGGAGCATATTTGAAGGTGGAAAGCCGGATGGACGTCTTGACTTTGATGCCTCCTTGATTTGCAGGGATGACAATGACCACCCTTTTGGCACTGGCAACCCAGACACAGGAGACAACTTCCCGTTCACAGCTGACATGGACCACAGAAACCCTAGGCTTCAAAGCGAGTTGTCTGATTGGATGATCTGGTTGAAAACCGAAATAGGGTTTGATGGATGGAGGTTTGATTATGCGATTGGGTACGGCTCTAGCTTAACCAAGCTCTACATGGACAGAACTTTGCCGGAATTCGCAGTTGCCGAGTACTGGCGTTGGATTCAGAACCAAGATGCACATAGGAAATTAGGAATGAAATAGTTAGTTGGATTCAGGCATTGGGGGTGTTGTCACGACGTTTGATATGACAACCAAGTATATTATGGATGTTGCTGTGGAGGGTGAGCTATGGAGGCTAAAGGATTCAAATGGGAAACCACCAGGGTTGATCGGCATCAAGCCAGAAGGTGCTGTGACATTTATCGACAATCATGAAACTTGGTCTCAAAACTGTTGCCTTCCCATCTGATAAAAGTCCGGCTTGGATATGCTTACATTCTCACCCATCCTGGCACCCCAAGCATAGTAAGTACTAAACATCGATTTACTGGAAAATGTTCTTTTGTCATATTATCTAACCACACAATTAGTTTATGTTGCAGAATAGAATTCGGATCACCATTTATATTGACTTTTTCATAAATTTGTGATTCAGATTCACAGGATGACAACATGAATATTCGTCTAGTAACGTAAAACATGCGTCGTCTTATTGAATTGGGAAATGTTCTTTTGTCATGCTGTCTAATAGCTAGCGCAAGTGGTTTATAATTATATTACCAAATAGTCAACTTGGATCAATATTAATCTTATTTTTTCTTGATTATGTGAGACAGATTCACAGTTTAATAACATTAATTATTTGCATAGTAATATAAATCTGGTAAGAGAACATTCGTGTACATATTTCGACTTCTAAATTACCTTGTTTTCGGTGTTGCAGTTCTATGATCACTTCGTTAAGTGGGGGTGGCCGAAGGACCCTAAACGCAATTCGACAGCAATAAGGGCAAGGAATGGGATCAATTCCAAGAGCAGTGTGACTATCTTAGCTGCCGAGGGTGACCTATATATGGCCAACATCGACGACAAGATAGTAATGAAGGTTTGGCCAAGGTTGGACCTCGGAGACCTTGATCCCACAAACTCAAACTTCCATGTTGCCAGAAGTGGGGATGACTTTGCTGTGTGGGAGAGAAACGAACTCGAAAAAGCTTGTTAAAATGATGTGTAATGTAATAGAATTATTAACGCCTATATAAATGTTCTTAGCCAATTGAGTTATAAACCCCAACTCGTAGTTCAAACAATTATGTTGATAGATCGTCGGTTCTAGTTAGCTCGTCTAGAGATGGAACATTTGAACTTAAGACATTTAAACTAATTTATTCCTTCTAAACGACATTCTAATTAGTTATATTCATACTACGAGAATGGAGATTCGAATTCGGGTGAAGGAGAGCATAGAGTTTTCAAACTATGGTATTAGTTTTTTACTAATGAACTAGATTCACTTGAAATGTTAAGCTTGTCTTTTTATCCTGATAACAAAATTGTCTCTGTTTTGGTAGCGCGATACTGTTAGTGGATTAAATATTTAGTTGTTAGGAGAGAGAAAAATCGGTGAAAATCAAATCGTACTAAGGTACATATACATGATTGTATTCACGATTGCGGTAAAACACCATCTGCTTGTCTTTTTATTACTCAATTATAAAGCAGCTGCACACTGTGGCTCTGCCCTCCACCACAAAAACCCAAAAAACAGAAGCTGCACACTCTAAAAACTTTCGCGCCAAACTTGAGTATGAACTTGGCCTTTTCTATCGGCCTCTCTGCGAAGCCCAACCTTCCCTATTTCCACTCTCTCCTAAAATCTCACAGCGAAAGCAAAAATCCTAAACAGGCACTGCTTCTTTTTCGCCAGTTGTTTGAGTACAATTTGAAGCCCAATGATCTCACTTTCTCTCTGCTCATTAAATCCTGCACTTCTTCCTCCGCCTCGGGTTTTAATTCAGTGAGCTCAAAACTAGAAGCAAATCAGATTCATACCCACTTGCTGAAATCAGGTGTCAATCGATATGTATATGTGAGTACTGCTCTTCTTGATTTGTATATGAAATTGGGTTGTGTAAGGGCTGCCCAGAAGGTGTTTGATGATATGCCTGACAGAGATGTTGTCTCATGGAATGCGTTGATTTGTGGGTTTTCTCGAAATGGGTATGCTTTTGAAGCGTTGAATTGCTTTGTCCGAATGTGTAGAGAGGGGCTTTGTCCTTGTCGGACGACTTTGGTTAGTTTGGTTCCGTCTTGTGGTAGGCAAGAGTTAGTTTTTCTTGGGAAATGTGTTCATGGGTTTGGAATTAAGGCGGGCCTGGATTCGGATTCTAACGTGAAGAATGTGCTTACCTCGATGTATGCTAAATCTGCAGATTTGGAGGCGGCGGAGCTCTTGTTTGAAGAGATAGTTGACAAGAGTGTAGTTTCTTGGAATACTATGATTGGCGCTTATGGACAAAATGGTTTCTTTCATGAGGCAATGCTTGTCTTTAAACAAATGCAGGAGGAAAATGTTCCGGCCAATCTGGTGACCATGGTAAGCCTCCTCTCAGCAAATGCAAATCCAGAGTCTACCCATTGTCATGCCCTTAAAACTGGTCATGCAAATGATGCTTCTGTGATTACTTCGCTAATTTGTGAATATGCAACACGAGGGAACACAGAATCCGGAAAACTGCTTTACAGGTCATTGCCTCAGAAGAACTTGGTTTCCCTGACTGCAATTATTTCAAGCTATGCTGAGAAAGATAACATAGCTCAGGTACTGGAATGCTTTGCTCACTTGCAGCGGTTAGACATGAAACTGGACGCAGTTTCTATGGTTTGCATCCTTCATGGGATAAAAGTCCCTGTTGATATTGGCCTTGGACTTGCTTTCCATGGTTATGGAATAAAGATTGGGCTGACGGCTGATTCTTTGGTTGCAAATTGTTTGATAAGCATGTACTCGAGGTTTGACAAGATAGAAGCCGCTTTTTCTTTATTCCTTGATATGCAAGCAAAATCGTTGCTTACTTGGAATTCTTTGATATCGGGATGTGTACAAGTGGGAAGGTCAAGTGATGCCCTGGACTTGTTTCTCCAAATGAAAATGTCCGGATATAGTCCAGATAGCATCACTGTTTCTAGCTTACTAGTCTGGGTGTGGCCAAATTGGGTACTTGCGATTTGGGGAGATACTTCATAACTATGTCCTCCGAAACAATCTTGAAGTGGAAGATTTTGTTGGAACCGCTCTTATAGACATGTACACCAAGTGTGGAAGAATAGAGCTTGCTGAAAGGGTGTTTAAGAGCATCCAAGAACCATGTTTGGCATCGTGGAACTCAATCCTCTTGGGTTATAGCCACTACGGGTCAGAACATAGAGCTCTTGCTTGCTTCTTGAAAATGCAAGAGCAGGGGATAATGCCCGATAATATCACTTTTTTGGGAGTTTTGGTTGCTTGTACTCATGGAGGTTTTGTTGAGGAGGGAAGAAAATATTTCCAAATAATGAGGGAAGAGTTCAATATAGTGCCACGCTTGCAACACTGCGCTTGCATGGTTGGTCTCTTTGGCCGCGCGGGCTTCTTCCAGGTGGCATTGGTTTTCATCAGAGATATGGAGATGGAGCCCGACTTCGCAGTGTGGGGAGCCTTGCTGAATGCTTGTTGCATCCACCAAGAGGTGAAGCTTGGGGAGTACATAGCCAAAAAGTTGTTTCTCTTGGACAGTAAAAGTGGCGGGTTCTTCGTGCTGATGTCAAATCTTTACGCGGTTAAAGGGATGTGGGACGATGTAGCTAGGGTGAGGGAGATGATGAGAGAGACCGGAGGGGACGGTTGTTCAGGAGTGAGTGTTATTGAGACGAATGTAAGTTTGTGCTTGAATAAACCTAGTTTGAATACAAATTTTGGGCAGATTCTGTTTATATAATCATCTCTAGACCTGATTTTGGTATCACCATTACATCTCTCGAATGTTTTGCATAAATTTTGAAAAACATGATTTGTAAAAAATGACATGAGAATAAGTTTATGACGGATTATGTAGCACTACAATGTTTTAACCAAAAAATTTTGATGTGCGTTCTGAAGCAAATCAAGTTATCTATTATTATACCGATACATCACGTCATTTGTGTATTAAATAAACGTTATGATGGTTACTGTAGTTCTTTCCATAACTAAACAATTTTTGTAAAATGCCACGAAAATAAGTCATGACTTAACCCGGCTGCCACCAACCCAACCCGACCCGACCCGGGCCCAATCATACTTTTAGAAACCCTAACGGAAAAGTAAGACGATGCCAAAAAACCGCAAAAGCGCTCCCAAATTTGAAATTTGAACTTTTCATCCAAACACACCATCTCACTCTCAGACTCCCAAGGCTCTCATCTTTCACATACCATTTCCCAAATCTTCGTACAAAAATGGGCGGAGCTCACAGCCGCGAACACCTCGAGCTTTCCGACTCCGACGAGGAAGAGAGCGAAGAGCAGGAGAGCTACGAGGACGTGGAGGAAACTGAAGCCGACCAGCGCCAGAGATCCGCCGAGCGGGGAAACAAAACGCCGTCGTCGGCTGCATTAGACGACGTGGACGCCAAGCTCAAGGCTTTGAGTCTCAAGTACGGGTCTTCTTCCAGGAACACGAATCTGAAGAATCCGGTGAAGCTGTACCTCCACATTGGAGGGAACACCCCAAAAGCGAAATGGGTAACTTCCGAAAAACTCACTTCTTTCAATTTTATTAAGACATCTCGAATGGAGGTTGATAATGATGAGGAGGAAGAGGAAGAAGAGGAATTTGATGAGGAGGGTTTGTGGGTTTTGAGGGTGGGGGCCAAAGTTAAGGCTAAGGTATCGGCAGAGATGCAATTGCTCACTTTTGCCGATCAGCGGCGTGTCGATTTCTTTGCCAGAGGCGTGTGGGCAATGAAGTTTTTCAGTGATGAGGAGTATAGGGCTTTTGTGATTAAGTACAATGACTGTTTGTTTGAGAACACTTATGGGTATGAGGCCACTGAGGAGAACAGGGTGAAGGTTTATGGGAAAGATTTTGTTGGGTGGGCGAAGCCCGAAATGGCGGATGATTCGGTCTGGGAAGATGCGGAGGATAATTTTTTGAAGAGCCCTGGCTCAGCAACACCAGTGAGGGGAAATCAGAATTTGAGAGAGGAGTTTGAGGAGGCCCACAATGGCGGTATACAGAGCTTGGCATTAGGTGCATTGGACAATAGTTTCTTGGTGGGGAACTCTGGCATTCAGGTTGTTAAGAATTTTGCTCATGGAATACACGGTAAAGGTGTTTATGTGAATTTTGATGATGGGAGCTATGGAGGCGGTTCAAATTTGGCACGGTCTACACCTAGGAAGGCTCTGCTGATGAAGGCCGAGACTAACATGCTCCTTATGAGTCCGATGAATGAAGGGAAGCCTCACACAACCGGGCTCCATCAGCTTGATATCGAAACCGGGAAGGTTGTTACTGAGTGGAAGTTTGAGAAAGATGGAGCTGACATTACAATGAGGGATATCACAAATGATAGTAAGGGAGCACAGTTGGACCCCTCAGGATCGACATTCTTGGGTTTGGATGACAACAGGCTTTGCCGGTGGGATATGCGTGATAGGAAGGGAATGGTTCAGGACCTTGCAGCTTCTAGTGGTCCTGTTCTCAATTGGAACCAAGGGCATCAGTTCTCAAGAGGGACTAACTTTCAGTGCTTTGCTAGCACTGGTGATGGCTCAATTGCTGTTGGGTCGCTTGATGGGAAGATCAGGTTGTACTCGATCAATTCGATGAGGCAGGCGAAAACTGCTTTTCCAGGCCTTGGTTCACCTATTACTCATGTTGATGTTACTTTTGATGGGAAGTGGATTTTGGGCACAACGGACACCTATTTGATCCTCATCTGCACAGTCTTTACTGATAAGGATGGCAAGACAAAGACTGGTTTTAGCGGGCGTATGGGAAATAGAATTTCAGCTCCAAGACTGCTGAAGCTGACTCCCCTGGATTCACATTTGGCGGGCACAAATAACAAGTTTCGTAATGCTCAGTTTTCGTGGGTAAGTATATGTATTTTCAGCCTGTTGGTTAGAAATATTTTTCTGTTATTTGGTGGGGCTATGCAACATTATGTTGCTTCTTCCTTTTGTTTGTGGTGATGAAAATATTAGTTTCCATCTGCTGTAATGTGCATGACTTAGTGGCCTCTCTTAAACCTGGTTTGCTAAGTCATGAATAGAACCTGAAATGTGAATCTACCATCCTACAGTATCAAAAATGGTTGGACTGTTTTCTATTATTTAGAATTCCCCCCTTTTGGCATTCCTTTTCCTAAATTATATGCACACGCACGTCCACTTCAGATCTGAAAGTTGGAATAATTTTCGGTTCAGTGTATGTTTTAGTGTTGAATTGCTGAAAGATGGAGAATAGATTGGTTTTACATCGAAGGTTCTAATGGTGGGGTTGTCATGTATAAAACTAATTTGTCTGGCTTTTCCCCTCTCTCTTCCAAGTAACTTCTAGATTTTGAATGCGGTTTTTGTTGATTTAACTAAATAACCATTAGGAGGTTTATATAACTTCTAAAAATTCCCAATTTCTTTTCGCTTTTAATGACTACTATTAGAATGGTTGAAACAGAAGTCTGGTCTTACATATGAACTTTAGTTTGGAGTATTTCAGTACATTGATGGTAGTACCGATTTTGGTTGGTTGGAGCATTGTCTATGAATGGAAAATGTCTAGGCAATTAACACTCTGAACTCAGTTTATTTTTCTTGTAGCCATATGATTTTGTTTGGTAGAAGATTATGATAATCTTGCTTTACATTATTGTTCAGGTCACGGAGAACGGGAAGCAGGAGCGACATCTGGTTGCAACTGTGGGCAAATTTAGTGTGGTTTGGAACTTTCAACAGGTGAAAGATGGCTCACACCAGTGCTACCGCAACCAGCAGGGCTTGAAGAGCTGCTACTGCTACAAGATAGTCCCCAAGGATGACTCCATTGTCGACAGTCGCTTCATGCATGACAAGTTTGCAGTTACTGACTCACCTGAGGCCCCACTTGTGATTGCAACCCCTCTGAAAGTCAGCTCCTTCAGCATATCCAGTACCAATAGACAATTGTCTCTGCAGTGAACTTTCTAATTTTCTATTAAGAACTTACACTTGTATTTGTTTTTTTTTTTCCCGTCAAGTATTTGTAGGGTATACTCTTTAAGCTAGGTCGTGCCGGTAATGAACTATGTTGAATTGTACTCATGTTCTGAAGGAATTTCAATGGTAATCTAATGATTTCCAGCAATAATAGTGCTTTAATTCTTGTTGAAGCAAGGTTTGGTAAATTTTCTTTTCCATCTTCCAGCAATATTTGAACATTTTCCCACTTCTTTTTAGTGACCTGGATATTTTAACGTTATGTCCAAGTGGTCCTTATTTCTCATATATATATGTATAATGCATGCACACATAAAATTTGTGGACCTCTTGATAGAAAGATAGAAGGAGAGAAATGGCTGCTGCAGTGGAGAGAGGTTTCCTTGTGCAGCCATGTCCTTTATCCTTTGTTTCTAATAAGAACACATCAAGACCCTCAGTTGCTATCGGGCATGGTAAACCAGCAAGGGCTCGAGGTTTTGCCCGCCACGTGGCTCAAGCCCAAGTGCGCCCTACATGGCTCCCAGGGCTTGACCCACCAGCCTACCTCGACGGAAGGTAAGTCCCTCAAGAAGCTGGTTCAATTTGATTTCATCTCTCTTTCTTTTTTCCCCTATTTAGGTTCACACTCCTTGTCCCTCTTCAACAGCTTGGCTGGGGATTTTGGGTTTGACCCGCTTGGACTCGGGGAGGACCCGGAAAGCTTGAGGTGGTATGTGCAGGCAGAGCTGGTTCATGCTCGCTTTGCAATGCTTGGAGTTGCAGGAATTCTACTTACAGATGTAAGACCAAAATGGCATTCTGTTTCTCGCTGTGGACTCATTTGGAAATTCCAAAATAAATTTCAATTATTTGATTTTAATACCTACCACATATTGTAGATAAGAAGTTTGAGGGCAGTGTAGCATTGTAATTTTACTTAACGACTGTGGATAAATGTTAAAAAATGAAACTAGTGATTTTTTTTTTGCAGTTACTGAGGGTAACAGGGCTTCTTAGTGTACCAGTTTGGTACAATGCAGGTGCAGTTAAATTTGGCTTTGCTAATACAGAAACTCTGCTCATTGTCCAATTTATCTTGATGGGGTAAGTTCTGTTTTAATTTGCATTGGCTAGAGTGGATTTGGTTCCCTTATGCACCCGAGTTTAAATCGTTCTCTCCGCAGTTTAAACTTATTTAAAGTAAACTATCGCTTGATCCGAAAGATATTTCTGCTTTGATTGTGATTCTGTGTTAATGTTCTCCTTTCCTGCTGTGCTTGTAGATTTGTTGAAACTAAAAGATACATGGATTTCAAAACTCCTGGATCTCAAGCCAAAGATGGATCATTCTTTGGATTGGAATCTGCACTTGAAGGTTTAGAACCTGGGTAATCTTATTTGATTCACAATCCCATCCTTACTCTATCAAGTGTTGTTGCTAATTCACTCATGTTACAACACGAGTATTCAATTTCAACACTACACGCAAGCTCAACGACATATGAACATTGATGTCTACCTATATTATGATATGAAGTTGATTAATAATACCGCGTGTATGTCAGATATCCCGGAGGTCCGTTGCTGAACCCTCTAGGTCTGGCAAAAGATATCAAGAAGGCTCATGAGTGGAAGCTTAAAGAGATTAAGAACGGTATAAAATGCGTTGTTTCGTTGATTTTTCCAAATCAATATCTTCCATTTCAGTCTTATTTTCTAGTTGGATTGTTGCTTCAAATTAGTTGTGTGTTGTTGCAGGACGGCTTGCAATGGTGGCGATGCTGGGTTTCTTTGTGCAAGCATCTGTGACTCATGTGGGACCCATTGATAATCTTCTGGAGCACCTCTCCAACCCATGGCACAGAACCATAGTTCAGACCCTTGCAAACTCTTCTTAAATGTAAATCCAAGTCCATGGTCTTTGTATGTGCCAATGTAACAATGTTCAATGGTTGCAGGACCATCATCTATCTTTGGACTTATGTTGGTTGTTTATGTCATTAAATAATCACACGATGAGGATTAAAGAGATAGATTCGTAAATATATGCAACTAGTTACACTTAGCATATTCTTCGGAAGAAGCTCAATCCCAAACTTTTATTTGCATCTTGGTGGTTAAGGTCACAACTTCACATGTCATTGTCAGTCATGTAAAGTTCCATAAAAATTGTAGAAATACTGTTGTGGTTAAGTTTGTTATTCTGAGTCTAAATAAAAAAATTTAGAATTTTCTTTATTTTTTTCTATGTGCAAGTCATGTACAAGTGTAAAAATATTAGAAGATAAAGTCTCACCTAGAAGATACAACAAAATAACATATAGCTTATGTGCGGGTTCCACTTTTAATATCATTGAAATCTTCTTGTAATAAAACACACTACCTAATAATAGGCAAGTATTTGACGAAAAAATGGTAATAAATGAGTAAATTGGAACAATATCAATAATATAAATCCTGTGTATAAGAATAATATTGATAACATTGATAGCAGATGATGCCCTGACTTAAAAAGTTAATGCCTTAAAAAACGTTGATGTATTGCTCTTATGCTAGTTTTCACCAGTAGACACGAGGCGGACTTCGCGTGGCGTTGGTTTGACGCACATAACCTACGTTTCCTAGCGGGAGTAGAAAATTAGACGTTCAAATCTCAGCCGTGGGATAAAATGAACGGTTCAGATGTAATAAAGTGAAACGGTAAGATGTGTTGGAAGATATAAGCAGAGAGAGAGGAGGCAAAGGTTCTCACTTTTGCCTAATAAGGAGCCCGCTGCAGTGATTTTGCTTCCAATTTTCAAAAAACCCAGATTGTGTTGGAATTTTCAGTCCTCGACAAAAGCCTTTTCGGGTATGAATTTTCTGTTCAGTGTGCTATAATTTTTCAGAAACTTTGAATTTTTACGGTTTTGATTTGGGTTTTTAGGGTTTTATAGGGGATTTGATTTGGGTTTTGATTTTTCCTAGGGTTTTTTTTTACCTGTCAATGAATTCAGGGACGATTGGTTTTATGATTTCGTATTAGATTAGATATTAGTTGAAATTTGAATCTGCTGCTTGAAACGATGAACTGCTATTTGGGTTTCTTTTATAATTTTGATTTTCGATTAGATGTACGATTTATAGATTCGAAGTTTAAATCTTTGATTCATACAAATTTAAAATTATTTGTCGAAGTTGCGGAAGAACTTTATGTGTATAAATTGGATTGTGTGCCAAACGGTACAAACCCTAACCCTAGGTCCGTAGCCCTGATTTTTTATTTGTATTTGTCTTTTTTTTTTTTTTTTTTTTTGTGTTTTTGGCAGAATACAATGGCGAGGGGAGCTAAGAGGAACGCCAGCCAGAGAGAAGAAAACAAGGAAAATTCAACCAAGGCAGACAACCACAAAGAACAATCCAGCAAGGCCGCCACTCGGTCAAAGCGGGTCAAGGCATCGCACCCCCAATCCGAGCCCGAGTACTTTGAGGAGCCTCGTCAGTTGGAAGATCTCTGGAAGGCTGCCTTTCCTGTTGGGACAGAGTGGGATCACTTGGACAAGGTGTACCAATTCAAGTGGGATTTCTCAAACCTTGAAAAAGCATTTGAAGAGGGGGGCAAGCTGCACGATCTTGGGAACAACAAAGTGTATCTCTTTGGTGGTACAGAGCCTCAACAAGTCCCCTATAAGGGTGATTTAAAAATTATTTACATACCTATTGTGGTGGCTGTTGTATCGCCTTGCCCACCTTCTGACAAAATTGGGATTAAGTCGGTTCAGAGGGAGACTGAAGAAATTGTTCCAATGAAACAGATGAAAATGGATTGGATTCCATATATTCCTTATGACAAGAGAGACAGCCAAGTTGTTGAATATAGTCGAAATTCTCCTCAAATATTCGTGCTGGGATGCACTCAGAGACGGGCTTCCTTGAAACACATGAAGATTGATCGTCTAAAGAAATTTGACTACTGCTTGCCGTATCTAATGCCGATCAAGGAAGAGGAGCTTGAGCTGAGCACCGAGGTCGACATACTTTTTCCACAGGAACCAAATCCACCGGTTTACTGTGTGTTTGATTGGCAGTTTGATGAAGTTGAGGAGTTCACTGACGAGCGGATAAAAGAGGAGGAACTATCTGCAGATCAAAAGGATGCCTTCATGGAGTTTGTCAAGGAGAAAGTGCGTCAACAAAAGAAAGAAAACCGAGAGAAAAAGGAGGCCCGCAAACAAGAATTTGAAAAAATGAGTACGGAAACTAAAGCAGCATTTGAAAATTTGAGGTATTACAAGTTCTACCCCGTGCAAACACCCGATACTCCTGACATATCAGGTGTCAAGGCTGCATACATCAACAGGTACTACAACAAGGCTCATGAGGTTCTGTGATTAGTTTCACTTTCACCGATATCCTTGTTGGCCTGCGCGTAATGCCTACGGTAATTGAAACTTTTGTGTTTAATGTGTCCCAAAGTGTTGGGAAAAGAGAAAATTTTCGCATACTCCTGTTGTTCTTGTTGTTTGATCTCATTTGAAATCATATAAAGACAAGGTCTCATTAAATTTTGTAGCGACTCTGGTCATTTATTTACCTTCTGTTCGAATAATGCTTCAAATATAAAACTTGAGGTATTGTTTTGGATGAGTTAAACTTGTCTTGTTTTCTTGTACGGCCGATTAGAAGGGTGATTTTCACTTCAATGAAATATTTTTGTTTGATGGCTTGTTGTCCTCGCTGAATCAGAAAGAGTTGAGATGTCTCGTTTTGTTTCGTTTCGGCTTTAACTTGTATTCTTCTTAAAAAAGACTTTGTGTAGAGTTTAGAAGCTGTACCCCTCTATCTTTCAACACTTTCTTAGTTTCATTCACATTCTTGTTCTGCTTGGTTCTGAAGCAAAATCAATTGCTTAAACTTAATTGCATCGTGCCGGCGAGGAGCAATTTTGACACAGATTGCATGGTGAAGTTATGTGACTCTTGCTCAGAAAACTGACCGAACACAGATGGAGAGAGCAGCTCCCGTAGTCATGTGATTAGTACCGTTGTTTTCGGATCGATAAAACTTCATCGAAACTATGAATGAATACAAAAAAAGTGTGAATTTCAACTAAAAGTAGCTCACGGAAATCTCAGACCCAAATTCTTTCATTACAGCAAACACGAACCAACTTTTACAGAGTTTTTGAGGCCTACAGATTACACAGAAGTTCTGTCATTCTCCCTTCTCAATATTCAGGCACCAACAATATTAACCTCGCTCCAAAACCATCCTTACAGCGAGCAAAACTATCATCCAAGTAACTTATCATACAACAAACAATTTACCAGTATCGTCATGTACACTCGAGTAAACATCTGTCAGATCAATCCACCATTTACGGTCACTCCGAGAGAAACCACCCTGTAAAAAGGAGGTAAAAATCACAACAACAAAGACGTGTACTGGTTTCAATCAAGAGTTATTTAACTTGTTTTGATGCGCCCTTCTTCTGGCCAAGAACATAAATATCCGTGGGAAGAACGACTTCTTTTTCTTCTTTCCCTGCTTTACTTCTGGGGGTGATGGACCAGCTTCGATGGGGCTTCCAAGTCCATACTTGGGGCTTGATGAATATTGCTCAGATGCGGCAGAATCAGGTGCGCAGTCAAAGTCCTTGGATTCTTTCCTTGCCTCAAAACTGGCCTTCGGGCTTTTAGTGGCAGTTGCTGCTGCCTGAGCAGGTTCACCAAGCTTTCGCCGTTGCTCATGTTCGGCCCTCCACTTTCTCAACTCCTGCTCAACCCCCAACTTGCCTGCCTTGGCTTTCTCAGCCTTCTCCATTGCAATCTTGAGTGCTTCTTTTCTCGCAGCCATTTCCTGATTAACTTCTTCCAACTTTTCCAAGCTTTTGAGCTCAGACTCCTTGGCCACATCGATTTGGGAACTTGCAGCTGCAACTCTCGTGTTCGCCTGTTCTTCTGCATCATGGGCCCGTTTGCTGAGCTCATAATACTCTGCTACAGAAAGCGTTACCCCAGTGGGTGAATCAGTATCATTGGTGCTTCTGGCTTGTTCACTCTCTTGCAAAGCTTTAATTGCTGCTAATGCCAACTTCTCGGAGGCCCTAGCAGCCTCTATTTCCTTTTGCGCCGCAAGTAATCTACTTTCCACAGTACTTGCTCCAGCCTTTGCTTGCTCTGCTCCTTCCCTTGCCTTGCGCAGCTCTTCACCAGCCATTTCAGAAAGTACCTTTGCCTGGTCAGCCTCCTGTGCTGCTTGCTGTAATTCTTTGGGTAGCTCAATCATCTTCTCTCTGGCTTCTTTCTCCTTCATCTGAACTAGAGCTATTTCCGACCTAGTCTTCTCCAGGTCAGCTTCAAGAGACGCAACAGCCACTGATGCCATTCCCTCCCTCTGCCTAATGGTGGCAAGAGCTGACTTCTCACTTTCAAGTTCCGATTTTAATGATGTGGCAGCCACCTTCAAGATATTTACTTCAGCAACTGCTTTCTCTATGTTGAGCTTCACTTCCTCCAGCTCCTTCTTTGCAGAAGCAACTGCTGCTTGTATATCGGTATGAGTTTTCTTCTCTGGTTCCTGTAGCCCATCTTTCAAGACTCCTCCATTTTCCACCTTTAATCTTGATTCCATATATGCAGCCAATTCAGATTTCAAATCAAGTAGTAAGGCCGAGGCTGTGTCTAGTTTTGACTTGAGATCCTCAGCCGACAATCTTTGGTGGTTAAGTTTCTGAAGCTCCTCTTCTGCCTGCTTTAACTCCTTCTCCCAATGAAGCGAATCTTGTTCCTTGGCCATGACTGCTCCAATCCTTTGTTCCTCCGCTTCCAAATGAGCGGCATGCGCAGCCTCTAATGACTCCTTTGTAGCAATTAGCTCAATCGTCAGTTCTTCCACTGTTTTCTCCACTTCCTTGGATGCAGAAATGGCCTCTTCAGCTTTTTTAATGGCTGTATCTTTCTCGGTGACTAAAGAAGCATATTCCTTGTACAGCGCTTCCAGCTCCTCTTTAACAGATTTCAGCTCTGTCACCGCAGCTGTATGCCTCGCCTTAGCAACCTCAAGCTGTGCCTTGGCTGCAACACT